GGGGAGGCTTAATTAATTTTAATGATACCAGTTTAGGTTTCACAGCTGAAAAATAAAACTATTAATATAGTACAATATTTATGCAATTTAAATTATCTTAGAATAAAATCATTTAATCTATCTCTTAGAATTTATTTTATTAGTTAATTAAGTAAAAATATAAAAAGTATTATGAGTATTTAAGTAATCAGCATCATATATAAAATTCTTACCTGAATACTTAAAAGAAGTTTCCATTGTGAAATATCAAGACAGTGACGGCGTAGCCGAATAATAAAAGCGAGGTTATTGGACTACCCGACTCTTGAGCAGTGGATACTGTTTACAGTACAAGCTTCACACGCATGCGCGATAAAATAGCCCCAAATGCACCACCTTCGAAGGTGAGGCAAATAGAGCGTGCTCCTAATTGCTCCTTAGAGTATGCTCTAACGTGACGCGAACATCTAGTCGCCATCTTGTTTCCGGTGACACGAATGTATTGGAGCGCATTGGAGTGAGAAGGAGCATGTTAGGGCATGCGACGCGAACACACCTTCGAAGTCATGCCGGCGGGGGCTATGGTAGGTTCAACCTTGCCGGATGAGTTTGGAAGGAGAGGACAGACTAAGAATGCACCAAACGTCTTAAGCCAAGGTGTAAGGCAACGTGCCGATGGCTGCTTGGCCACGAAGACGTGAAACAGCGCGGTCGCAAACGTTCCCTCTGGGGTACCTGCCGACCCCCCAGAGTAGCTAGGCTTGGTGATATCATGGAGGCTCTGAATCACTTGATACTTGTTCCTACCATACTCGTGGGATGAAAAATGGAGAAAAATGAAAAAACTAAAAATACACTCAAACCAAAGTTAACGATGAAACACAAACCCGGAGATAAAGAACAGGACCCGTTCAAGAGAAGGGAGTCTATTCCCAGATCACCACCACCATCGGCGAAAATAATAACTGGAGGAATAAATAGGCCTTGCTTTAGCGCTTTGCTTGAACAAGGTGAGGAGGCATACGACTCTCCGGCTGAAAAAAAAACGACAAAACGCCCCAGTTCAAAAAATACCAGAGAAACTGATGATAATGATGTATTTATTTTTCCTGAACCTGTTCAAAAAAGCAGTGCGAATAGTGTGGAAAGAGAGAAACTGGAACAAAAAGGCTCACCGAAAGTTGAAAAGGACGACAAGGAAGTTACGCTAGAAGAAGTGAGATCTGAAAGAGTAGCTCTAGAAGAGTTTCTCTTTAATGAAAACAATAAAATCAATAAGAATACAATTAAGTTCATATTGTCTAAGTGGGTGCTACTAGAAGGGAAATTACAAGAGAGTATCGTTGAGAGAGAAAAATTAAAGTGTACTTACCTGGCATCGAAAAATTCTATCAGTTCGATGTCCTATGTTCAAGTGGCGTTCACTCCATGGTCCGGAACAGCAGCATCTGAAACAGAAAAAAAAGAAATTATCCAACGTACTACACTAAAAAGCGGATTCAAGACTAATTCTTCGGTAATGATTGTTAAGCCTTTAAATGAAAAGGACAATTTAACGTGTGAGGATGTCAAAGAAAAACTTACAAAGAAAATGAATCCGTTAATTAAAGAAATAAGGATTAAAAGAATGAGAAAGGTGGGAGACAGAGGCATTCTAGTGGAAACGGAAGGTGGAAACGAATTAAAAAAGATCCAGCAGATAATAGAAGACAATGAATGCGGGCTGAAAACAGAGCTGCCTAAGAAAACTGGACCCAGTATGATAGTATATGACGTAGAAAAGTCGGTCACAAAGGAGCAGTTTATGGAACAATTTTGGTCTAAGAATGTTGAAAAACTTGGAATCGCCAAGCAGGAAAATGAAAGCAGGGTTAAATACAGATACAACACATTTGTTAAAACCAGAAATACTAATAACTGGGTAATAGAGGTGACAGGAGAGATAAGAAGAAAACTCTTGGAGCAAGAACGACTATATATTGACTGGAGATCATACAAGGTTAATGATTACTTAGCCTTGACTAGGTGCTTCCGTTGTCTAGGCTTAGGCCACAGTGTTAAACACTGCAAGGAAAAGACCCCCACTTGTGGACACTGTGGGGGGGGGGGCGGGCCATATAAGCACCAATTGCTCAGAGAGAGAGAGAAATCTGCAGTCTGCGCTAATTGTACAAGAGCTAAAAGGAAAGACACACATCATACTGTAAGTGACAAGAGATGCCCGGAGTATCTAAGAGTAACTGAAATCGTAAAGAATAAAATAGATTATACATAATGATAAAATTCTTTCAAATAAATGTTGGCCGTTCGCAGACGGCATCATACGAATTAAGATTAAAAGTAGAGGAACAAGGCATTGATGTGTGTCTGATACAAGAACCATACGTATTCCAAGGACAAGTCAAAGGCTGCGCTTCACTTGGTGCAAGAGTTGTTCAAAGTAATAAGGTGACAGATACAAAAGCTGCTATAGTTGTATATAATCAGGAAATAACTGTCACAAAAATCGAACAGTTTACGGACGAACATATAGCTTGCGCACATATAGTACATAATGAAGTAAACTTATATTTGGTATCAGTTTATTGTCAATTTTCCATGGAGCTAAACTATTTTATTAATAAGTTGGAGACTATAATAGAAACGTTCAAAAGCCACGACATGATCATATCAATGGACTCCAATGCTCACTCCAAAACTTGGTACTGCAAAGAGAACGACGCGAAAGGCGAATTACTCGAGGATTTCCTAATAAATAAAAATGTATACATTTTGAATCAGCCTGGAAACGAACCAACGTTCTCTACTATAATAGGAGAGGCCAATATAGACTTGACTGTGGTGAATAGTGGAGTCCTGAAGGATAGTAATGATTGGAAGGTCTTCCCGAAAATGACTTCCTCAGACCATAATTGTATATACTTTGAACATAACAACAATAAAAATTCAGAAACAAATCAGGTAATCACAGGACAACTCTATAACTTAAAGAAGGTCAATTGGGATCAGTTTGGCGATGTTATTAATCAGAACTCAATGGGACCTTTTGTAAAGAAATCACAAATACAAGTCCGGAGAACGCCGTTAATCTATTTAATAGAAAGATTGATCTTATATGCAGTAGCAATCTAAGTAGGAGAAGACCTCTGTCTAGGAAAACAGTACCGTGGTAGAGCGAACAACTGACCAACTTAAAGAAAAGATTGGCGGCATCTCGTAGAAGCTGTAAACGGTACAGGAAACTTAAATATGAAAAGACGTATGAATACAGTTTTGATATATACTGCAGACTAAGAAGGGACTACAAGAGAGAGATTGGAAAGGCAAAAAAGGACTCGTGGAATGATTTCGTGAACCGGAACACTACGAAAAACTCTTGGGGACTGGCATACAAGCTAATGATGGGAAAGATTAAAAATAGTAATATCCTAAGTACGATTAAATTAGGTAGCGATTTTACAACTGATTGGACTTCATCGGCGAAGAGACTTTTGGAAACATTAATGCCGGATGGAGAGGAAAGTACAGAAGCAGAGGATTCACAAAACATAAAGAACAGATATAGCGAATACTTAAACTACAATATGGAACAGGAAATAAGAATGGACGAAATAGATGAAGCAATTAAAAGAACAAAGAAGAAAAAAGTTCCTGGTCCGGATAAAATAACAGCGGAAATATTAAAAATAGTTTGGAAGGCAGCACCAAACGCACTTTACTCACTCTTCAACACATGCTTTGATAAAAACAGCTTTCCAAAGCAATGGAAACAGGCGGATTTAAAACTGCTGCTCAAAAGCCCTGAAAAGGATCCGAGCGATCCTAAATCGTACAGGCCAATCTCACTGTTGTCAGTTGTTGGGAAAGTGTACGAAAGAATCATGATACAACGTTTCAAGGTAATTTACGAAAGTCTAGAAATGTGCTCCGACAATCAATATGGCTTCATAAAGGGACGATCAACGGAGGACGCAATATGCAGAGCGGTCAGCAGCGTGAAATCGGCCGAATCAAAGTACGTAATGGGCATATTTGTCGATATAAGTAGAGCATTCGACAATCTTCTTGGATTGGGATTTTGGACAGGATTAGGAGTGTGCACTGCACAAGGAAGTTGTTTGAGGTGTTCATGGATTACTTCTCGAATCGAGAGGTACAATTGGCAAGCCGGGAGAGTGAATTGGGGGTATCCAAGCTCCTGAGTAAGGGGTGTCCTCAGGGTTCCATTTTGGGCCCACAGCATGGAACATAGTTATGGACCAATTATTAGTGGAACAAAAAACTGAAGCTGAAACGAGATCTGAATACATAGCATATGCAGATGATATTCTAATCCTAGTGCCAGGAAAATCCAGGAAACAATTAGAGGAAGAGGCGCAGAAGGAAATAAACAGGATAATGAAATGGAGTACGGATAGCGGTTTACAAATATAGGAAAATAAAACAAGGGCTGTGTTATTAAAAGGGAATCTGGATGCGGAAAGGAAGCCCAGAGTCTTCTTAGAGCAAAAAAAGATAAAATTTTGTACAGAAATAAAGTATCTCGGAGTATACATGGATGAAAAGCTATCGTTTTTGCCGCATATAAGATTGCTAACATTCTCGCCAACGATGGATTGTTTAAAACTTTCACTAGAAAACGATTTACGTACTATCCGTTATAAACCGAACTGTTACTTTAGCTGGAGACGTCGGAATGTTGAGACTCGAGAAAAGGAAAGGTTTCGATAAATTCGTTCTTTATTAAGAGAAACGCTCTCGACAAGAATCCAATACAAACTGACTGTTCTGACCGACAATGTATATCGAAGGATACAACTCGATAATATTTTGGTTCGGAAGAGGGGTATCAGCTTGCCTTGCGTGTTTGTGAGATCGAGCGCGTGTATGTAAGTACACGTGATACAGTAGCGGTATGGCACAAGGGGAATGACAGACAGATTTCAATTTTTGTCCAAACATTCCGCCCGCCTTGTCAAGACCATAATGACAACTAAACGTCAGTCGAGTTCCTTTGATTCTCACTGTTTTGTAACGTTCGGTAAAAGGCACAATTTTACGATCGGTCGCTTTAGAGTAGTGGTAGCTGTTTTTACTGTAGCTACTCTGACTAGTCCGTCTGAGCCGGGATGCGTTTCGATTATCCGCGCGAGGGGCCATTTGGTCGGAGGGAAGCGTTCGTCCTTGACTATTACTAGGCTGCCCTCTTGAAACTTTTCTTGTTTTCGATGCCACTTGGATGATGTCTGGAGCTCGTGTAGATATTCCGACGACCAACGTCGCCAAAATGATTCTGTCATTTGACGAAGCATTTGTAATCGTGATAGTCGATTTTGAGGTAGATCGATGAGGGATGGTTCTGGAACGGCCGTGAGAGAGTTCCCGACGAGGAAGTGTCCTGGTGTTAAGGCGACGGAGTCAGAAGGATCGTCTGAGAGGGCCGAGAGCGGGCGCGAATTCAAGATTGCTTCGATTTGAATCAATAGTGTTGACAATTCTTCATAGGTGAGCAGGGTCTCGCCGATCATTCGACGGAGGTGATGTTTGACGGATTTTACTCCGGCCTCCCATTTTCCGCCAAAATGTGGAGCCGAAGGAGGGTTAAAGCTCCACTTTACTCCATCGTTGGCGAGAATGTTAGCAATGTGAGCCCATTCCTTAGAGGAAGCGGTGAACAATTTTTTCAACTCGGAAGCTGCGCCGACGAAATTGGTCCCACAGTCGCTCGTGATTGTTGAGCATAGGCCTCTTCGTCCGGTGAATCGTTTGTAAGCAGCTAGAAATCCATCAGTTGAGTAGTCGGTAGCTACTTCTAGATGAACAGCTGAGGTACTAAAACAAACAAAAATTATGAAGTATCCCTTGACTGTCTTCGCTCCGCGTCCGCGGAATGACTTTAGAGTCAAAGGACCGGCATAATCGACTCCGGTATTGAAGAATGGTCGACATGGAGTGACACGAGAAGCTGGAAGTTGTCCGATGAGTTGTTGACTGGCGGCGGCGCGATGACGGGCACACGTAATACAGTTATGGATGAATGAGCGAATAGGAGTTCGTCCACCGATAATCCAAAACTTATGCCGTATTAACGATAACGTCAGCTGCGGTCCGCCGTGTAATGAGCGCCTGTGATAGTAATCAATTATGAGCGTTGTTAGTCGAGAATCTCGTGGTAAGATGAGCGGATGTTTTTCTGATGGCTCCAGTTGAGAGAAGTGAAGTCTTCCACGTAGCCTGAGATGTCCGGTTTCGTCTAGGACAGGAGAGAGCTTCAGTAGGGAACTTGAGGGAGAGAGTTGCTTGTTGTTTCTCAATGTTCGGAATTCTTTCGAAAAGTAGGCTTGTTGAGTTAATTTTACCCACAGTAGTAATGCGGATTCTAACTCGGAAGGCGTCAGGACCGCTTGATGTGGTCTATGTGCTGTGGATTTTCGGAAGCGCTCAAACGCCCGTAGGAGCCAGGCTGTGGTGCGTAGAAGCGAGGTGAGCGAAGAGTATCTTTCGATGAGATCTCCGAGGTCAACTTCTGGTTTTTCGTTAGCGAGGGTACAAGAGACAGGACGCTCTTCTAGATTTATTGTTGATTCGATCTTTGGAGTCAGGGATGGCCAAGATGAAGAGTGATGTTGTAGCCAAGAGGGTCCCTTCCACCAGAGCTGAGCATGCGGAAGCGAGTGGGGAGGTATCCCTCGAGATGCTAGGTCCGCTGGGTTTTCCGTTCCGGAGACATGATGCCAGCGAGAATTCGAGAGCTCTTGAATGAAAGAGACTCGATTCTGAACGAAATCTTTCCAACGTGATGGGTGACCTTTGATCCATGTTAGAGCGACCGTAGAGTCGGTCCAGAGATGAGTTGACGTGTGATGAATTTGGAGCACGTTGCGAATTTTGAATACTAGTCGGACGAGGATTACGGCAGCTGAGAGCTCGAGGCGCGGAATCGTCATGCGTTTCAGAGGTGCTACTTTGGTTTTGGCGCTGATAAGGGTGACATAGATGTCGTCGAATTCGTTTATGACGCGCAGATAGACCACAGCAGCGATGGCGTTCTGTGATGCATCTGAGAATCCGTGGAGTTCGATCGCGAGGGATGACGTAGTTATGCCGACCCAGCGTGGGATTGAGATCGTTGTCACGTTTTCGAGTTGTTGAGTGAAATTGATCCAGCGCGATTTGAGGTTTTCGGGAAGCTCTTCATCCCAATCAAGGCGAATTGCCCAGAGCTCTTGCATGAACATCTTAGCGACAATGACGATTGGCGCCAGCCATCCGAGCGGATCGAACATGCTCGCAGTGAAGGAGAGCACTGACCGCTTCGTCAGGGATCCAGCTGGTGGTGGCGATGGTGCTGAGAACACGAAGCGATCGGATTGTTGATGCCATTGTACACCGAGTGTATGATGTATCGTTCGATCGTCGACTGAGAGGATTGGAGATGACGCTTGATCTTGATGAGGAATGTCAGCTAGAACTTCAGGGTCGTTGGAGATCCATTTTCTGAGATGGAACCCGCCAGCTATGAGGGATTCGTTTAGTTGGTTGATCTGTGTTTTAGCTTCAGATATACTTGATGCGCCGGAGAGAACGTCGTCCACATAGGTATCGCGGCGTAAGATTTCGGCAGCAAGCGCCCGCGGAGAATCTGATTCGAAAGCGAGTTGCTGCAGGCAACGCAGAGCGAGATACGGAGCACACGCGAGACCGTATGTTACTGTGCACAGATGATATTCTTGCGGAGTCTCACTCGGGTCGTTTCGCCAAAGGATTTTTTGTAGTGGCCAGTCGTCTTCGTGAACGCGAATTTGACGATACATTTTTTCGATGTCAGCTGCGAACACGTATTGATGTCTGCGCCATCGAATGAGAATGTCTGAGAGATCGGTTTGCAGTTTCGGGCCGACATGAAGCACGTCATTTAGTGAAAAACCGAGAGTCGTTTTCTGCGAACCGTTGAACACTACGCGTAGTTTCGTTGTCGCGCTAGTTTCGCGAGTAACGTCGCGATGCGGCAGGAAGAACTCGCGTTGGTGACACTTTTCGGATGAATTGTGAATCCGCATGTGATCGAGATCGTGGTATTCGCGTAAAAAGTCGCTGTAAGCTGATTTGAGGGACGGATTCGAGTTGAACCGGCGTTCCATTCGGAGGAGAGCGTTCTGAGCGAACGTGCGAGAGTCACCAAAATCACTTATGTTCCTTTTGAGAGGGAGCCGAACCACGAATCGTCCTTGTATGTCGCGAGAGTGAGTCGATTCGAAATGAGTTTCGCATTGAGATTCTTCTGGCGTGAGCGGGACTTGAGGTCGAGGGATTATTTCTTCTTGAGACCAGAAGCGTTGTAAGAGATCGAGCAGTTCGGAGTCAAGCGAGCATTGCATTCCATTGAGAGAGTAGTCGTCTTCGATGGAGGCTTCACTAGTTGAAAGCGGGCCTGATAAAATCCACCCAAGAGCTGTGTTTTGAGCAATGGGTGCTCCGATAGGTCCGCGGCAAAGACCTTGTTTGAGGACTTGAGCATAAACTATTGATCCGAGTACTAGGTCAATCTTTCCGGGCGTGGCAAAGTTTGGATCCGCGAGCTGAAGATTTTGAATATGCGGCCACTGTTTATATTCGAGTTGAGCGGGTGGAATATATGCCGTCAATTTCGGTAAAACGAGAGCGTCAATTTCGAAATAGATCGATGAATCATACAGTGAGGCGATACGGAGTTGTACGATGCCGTTTGAAACGCTGTTTCGTTGAGCACCGATACCGACAATTGGGATAGCCGCGGAGCGACGCGGGAGCTTTAGTGATTGAGCAGCGGATTCAGAGATGAATGACACTTCTGATCCTTGGTCTAGTAACGCTCGAAGTTGCGATGATTGATCGTGTCGAGATAGAACTCTTACTACGGCGGTAGCTAACAGAGCAGGGGCGCGACGCCTGGTTCTTGATTGCGAGAGATGGCTTGAAGCTTGATAGTCTTGGGATTGGTTGATGTTGAGCTGGTTAGTGTGCTTTGCTTCTTGAAGAGTACTTGCGTGAGCGGTTGGTTGAGCCGCTGAGATGGACGCTGCGGGAGTTATGTTCGCGACGGTATCGCTGTTGCTGTTCGGTGCGTGCAACGTTGTGTGGTGTTGCTTTCGACAGATTCGGCAGCGTTTTGTATTGCGACACATTTTTAACTGATGAGGCCCAAGGCAATTGAAACAGAGATTCTTCAATAGGACTAACCCTCGTCGTTGGTCGTATGGCTTCTCTAGATATTTGGAACACGACGAAAGGTAGTGTCCCGCGGCGCACAACACACACTTTTGTTCCGGCGCGGTAGCGATATATGATCGTGCGCCTGAAGGTCGCGAGGTCGACGAATTTATTTGTTGTTTTCGAGGCAGCGATCTTTCGAGAGCTTCGAGCGTGTAGATGCGGCTGATTAGGAAGGTCTCGAAGTCCGCGAACGAAGGCGGATCTGTTTTGGCTCCTAGTGAGTCTTCCCATCTCTTCAGCGATTCGGCATCAAGCTTTCGAACCATTAAAAAAACGATAATGAGGTCCCACTGTTTTACGGGACAACCGAGAGTTTCGAGCGCGCCGATGGCTTCCTTAGTATCGCCAAGGAGCCGTTTGATATCGGCTGCGTTTTCTGTTTTTATTCTTCGGGTCGCGAGGAGGCACGTTAGTTGAGCGCCGATAAGAATTCGTTTATTTTCATATCGAGAGATGAGATTTTCCCACGCGCGAGTGAAGTTTTCACCAGTCATTGCGATGTTTTTTAGATGTTGTGAAGGTTCGCCAGAAAGGCTCATTTTGAGATAATGGAGTTTTTCAATTTCTGAGAGCTCGGAATTGTCTATGATAATTGACGTGAAAAGATCCCGGAAGTGACTCCACTCTGAGTAGTCGCCTGAGAACTTCGGTATGTCGATGCGCGGTAGCCGTCGAGATCGCGACCCGGTAGATGTGCTCAACGATGCTTCGGCGGCAGATATATTTTGAGGAACTGGTGGAGCTAGGCTTTCGAGGATGTTGAGCATGTAGCCGTGCGCGTCTATGAAAGCTTCTTCGCACATGGAATAGAGATCATCTTTGAAGTACGGCAGTGTCTTTTGTTCGGGGGTGATCGAGGTGAAGAGATTCTCGTCGTGAGCTTGAAATTTATCCCAATTAACCCTTAATGCTTCAATGCGACTCTGCACATTGCCGCGATTTATTCGGGACGGTCCGAGTTTTTTCAGATTTTCGACCGAACGCGTGATAAGGCCGAATAGGACGTGTTGACGTTCCATGATCTTCTCGATCGAGGCCAT